TTTCCCGACGTCGGACGGTAGCAAGGTACCGCCTAGCGGTACCGTGCTACCGCCACAGAAGGTTGCCACTGCCGGTACCTGCGCTCGCACGGTACGGGGGTACCGGACTGACGGTACCAAGGTACCGCCTGGCGGTACCGAGGTACCGTAAGGGGTACCGGACCGGCAGACTGTTCGATCGGTTCTTCGTCTGTTTGTTCTGTTTCAACTTCTGGATTGTTCCCTATGCTTTGTGTGTTGCATGACGGTAAACGTGGGTAGCAATATCCAGTGTTAGGCCGCTAATTGAGTGTATTGGATGTGATGAAATATGTGTAAGATGTATAAACATGTATGCTAAAAACTAATGACGATTGAAGCATGAAATACCTAGAACAAACCTAGGATCTGACCTGAAGGGAAATAATGGCAAGACCTGTCATAAGTTCGTAAGTTAGAGTCATGTGGTACCTGCTGGGTCCAATGGCTGTCCGGGTAAAACCGTGTACACGGGGATCTAAGAACTGTCGTTCCGAAGGGGACATGGATCTCACCCACCCAACGAGGAACTCCCGAGTTGGTTGAACTTGACCTTCGTTCCGAAGGGGAAGGTCATGACTTCATAGGCAAGTCGTATACAGTTAAGCTTTTACCTAGCCTAGGTTAAGAGCCGAGCACCGAAAGAACGTAGGGTAGAGGATAATGGAGAAGTTACCATTGTATTCTTGTGATTTGTAATTCTTTAATGATGATGTTTATTACAACTTTTACATTGTGTATGTGGCTTGAATATGTTGAGCATGTTGTGTGCATGATATTGTATGGAATTATGAGCTAGTGGGTTTGTCTATGTGCGTAGTCGAACGTTAGATAGATTCCACTCAGCTTCAATGCTGAGCGTGTAGCCCTTTTTCCTATTTGCTACACGTAGGTAACAGGAACAATGAATAATGAGACAGTCTTGGAGGCAGAGAGGGTGAAGAGATGGATGGATGCTGGCTGGAGGAGTTATCTGGTTTAATATTTAAGTTTGAATTATTATATTCTTAAGGGCAAGAACCCAAAGTTATATTTTGATTAAGTACTTAAAGGCATCCGCACCGTTTTGATTTACTCTGATGGATATTTAAATATTGTTTTGAATTAAATGATTTTAAATTATTTTGAAAATTATTGTGTTTGAATGCCAATTTAGTAGCAACCCAATCTGCTGGTCCTTGTATTCGGGTCACGCGGGTTGGGGTGTTACAATCCTTATATTTATTTATTGAGCTGTAATGTCTATTTTACTCACCACGCTTTCCTATCGATGGTTTAGCCTTAAATGACTTCCAACGGTCATGCCTTCCTATCGATGGTTTAGCCTTACCATCGCTGGGTTCTCATCGATGGGATAGTTTTCCCATCGCTGAGCAAGGTCGTTCTGCCTTGTGTTAATGTTGCACCACAGTTTTAACAGCGATGGGTAGAACTTCTCATCGCTGTTTGGCATGGTTCTGAAAGTTGGTTTGGCTAAGGGACCACTTACCCATCGATGGGAAGATCTTCCCATCGCTGGGTGGGTGGTTAGGCAAAAACCCATGGTTTTTGCCTTAACCACGGCCTAGCCAACCGATGCAAAAACCGACCGAAAAATCCAAAGTTCTCCAAAATAAAAATCAAGTGCTTAAAACACTTATTTGATGTATTTGGCTAAGAAATCAAGTGAGTCACTTTAAAAACCACGTCATTGGAGTAAAAACCACGGCTAGCCAAGTTTACGTCGTTTTGCGTGGTTTTTGTAAACGACCAAAAGCGAAAGATGATTTTCAAAGTGTTTTTGTTGGAGAACCATTTAAACATTTCAAAGAGTGAAAACCAATCATAAAAAGTTGAAAATCACTTGGTTGGTCCGGACGCCAAAAACCAACGCCGATGACCGAAAGCCGAACGCCGGTTTCTGAAAGCCGAATGCCAGATGGCTTGGTTTTTGGTTTGGGCGAACACCAAGTGTTTTTAATGACTTAAACAAGTTTGAAAAATATTTTTATGATGTAAGAAATGCAATGAGAAGAGTTTAGCCTAAAGAGCCAAGGTGTAAAGATTGGGTCGGTCTTGATCACAATGAAGACCGACTCAACGACACTAAAACTATGGTCTTCGTTCTTGGTCTTCTTTTAGCTCTTGTTCTCATCTTCGTTCTTCGCCTTGTATGTTCAATGATTTACTCGATCACGGCGGTTTGGCATTATCAAAACCAGTCATAAAAACGATCACGGCTTTAATACGAAAACGTGACAAGCCCGTGTTTCAACACTTTATTCCTAAAAAAATTAAGATTTATGGCATCGAAAGTCCTTGTTTCTAAAAAATAAAGTACACACGTTAAATATTTTTGTTTATATGAAAAAAGACACAAATTGTGCGAACAAAGTAGACACGAATAACTTATAACTTAAACATCCAAGTGGTGCGAACATTGTCAATCTCGAAGAGGGCATTTCCCATACTCTTTGATTGTTTTTGAGATATTTTTTGAAAGAAGGACAAATTTTTAGGGGTGAGATTGTTTTGAAAACAATTGGAGGTATAAGTAGTATATATAATTGGACAAGAATATCAAAAAGAATTTTTTATATGGATAGACATAGTTTCCTTCCCTTATCAAATCTACGGAGCATTACCTTTTGGTGAGGAGTAAGAATATAAACATTTTCTATATAAAAATGGAAGGGATTAGGAAGGGATGGAAACCATGCCTCTAAGTTGGGAAGAGAAGAAAATGAAAGGAAAATTGACATGTTGGTAGATGGGAAAGAGTTAACATATTAGAGCACTGGAAATACGTATGGAGCCAAGTTTACGTCACCTTTAACTTACACCAAAAATTCACTGGAAATGGGTTTGAAGCCCCGATGCTTCAAACTGGGGCTTCAAACCTTTATTTTTTACATTTTTAAATATATATCTTCTAAATTTAAATTAATTTATTATTTAAATTAATCGCAATGAGACTAGTGCATTAAAAAAATTACATTCATTAAAAAATAATTAAAAAATTACATTAATTAAAAAATGAACATTTAATTAAAAAAATTACATTAATTAAAGACTTAAAACAAATTATAATTAGCTTTGATCTCGTTATGTCTTCTCTCGAAAGCAAATTATATTCGTTTGGTCGTTTGACTCGAGACCGGACAAATGAACATTAAAAATGAAGAGATTCATGTTAAAAAAGATGAAAAAAATTGAATATTTTTTTTATTTGAAGAAGATAGAGGAAAAGATTTTGTGGGTTTTTAAAAAAATTAAAGAAGAAAGATTTTGTTTGTAAGTTTTATTTTTAAAAATAAAAAATTGAAGAGGAAAATATTTTGTGGGTGTTTAAAGGAAGAGTTTTTTTTAAATTGGAAGAAGATAGAGCAAAACGCACATTATAACTTTGACGCAATGGCAATAACTCTCGGATGAAGCCCCAAGGGGGCGGTGTTTAACGCCCCTAGGGCTAGGGGTGTTCATCGGTCCAAAACCGGACCAGACCGAATCGGACCGGACCGGACAGAAAACCGAACTAGGCTAAAACCTAGACCGAAGACTGGACCTAAATGTAGTCGGTTTTGGACCGGACCGACCCGAAATCTTATGGACCGAACCGGTCCAGACCGTAAAGACCGAATCCAGGGGCCGGAACTGAAACTTTCTCTACCGGCGAAACCTTAGGTATGGAAAATTGGGGATTTTGCAATTTCGAACCAAATGCTGCAATTGAAGAGTCAGGGTGGGTCGTAAGGATGTTAGGAAGATGTCTGGGTGGGTGCGCGACGTCGAATTTGCCGGAGGTGGCCGGAATCTGCAAAAACCCCCCAGAAACCGCCATGACCGGTTGCAATTGATTCCCAGCGATTCCGGCATCCAAGTCCCACGATGCTGGTGGCAATGAGGTCGTATGGACCTCAGGAGGCATTTGGGAGTGGTGGGGAGGCTCGCCGCTGCGTGTGGTGGCCGGAGCAGATTGGGCTGCGGCATGGACAGCGGCTGCTGCGATAGCCGATATGCCGTTTCCTGGCAGCTTTTGCTGTGGTGTTTGGGTGCAATAGGATCGGCGTGATCCAAGGAGAAGTTTGGTGGGTGACCGCCGGACACAATGTAGAAGATGTTGTCCAAGAAGGCAGAAAGAAGATAAGATCTGACTTGAGTTGGGTGGGGAAGAAATACGAAGCTAATAATATTTTCGGTCTTTTAGGTCCAGACCAAATGATATTCGGGTTTGGACCGGACCAGACCGAAACCCGAAATTGTAAAATTGGTGGACCGAAGACCGACCCGAAATCCAATCGGTCCGGATTCGGTCTGGACCTATCGGTCCGGTTCGGTCGGTTTTTTCTGTTTGGACCTAAATATGAACAGCCCTACCTGGGGCGTTAAAAATGCAATAACGCGGTTGGGCGTTACATGTATTGCCGCTGCCCTTAGATGTTTGAAATAATAACTATAATAAATAAATGAAAGAAAAAATAATATATGAAATGTACTCTGTTAGATATTGCTACCACGAACGAAGTATGAAGTACTCCGTATTATTTAATGGAATATCATAATCAATATACGATACGTTCTAAACAATACCGAGGAATAAAGATGTATTCATTTTATTAAATATCTTATATGCTTATAATTTACTTTTTTTCTCCGTGGAATGTGTATGTGTGTGTAATATTTTGGAATAATAATGTTCTTTTTATTATTAATGTTGTTATTGTTATTTTATTGTAATTATACTAATAATAAATATTTTAATTCATTTGGGACGACCAATTATTTTGCAGGCGGATTTTTAGGAGTGGGGCATAAATCCGGGCCGGGGATTGGGGTGGAGGAAAGAGGGAGAGATGACCCGCCCATCCGGCCCAACACAAAGTTGGATCGGACCCAATCAACTGAAGAGAAGCGTCTCCCGGAAGAAACGCTTGCTACGAAATTCATTCATTCATTGTCCTCATAAAACTTAGAAAACCTAATTTGCCAAAAATACTGTATATCTATACATCTGGCCACGCTGCTCTTCGCCATCGGGGAGAGCCAAAGCCTCATCCGCTCTTCTTCCCATCAAATAAGCAGCCTTCTCTGTTTTCATCTTCTCAATGGCCAGTTCTTCTGGCATGAAATCGGCCGTGAAAGCTAGTTTATCAGGCGACTCTCTCTTCTCTGATTCGAGACTCATGAGTTTTTCTTCTGGTTTGGATTGAACGGCCTTTGCTGAAGATGCTTATTTTAACTGTTTATATTTGCTGCTCTTCTTTTAGGTAAGCGAAAGCGAGAGCCAAAATATGAGTGTGAGACCAACTGGACTTTGAGGAAACATAAGGAGAGATCTGAGGAGAAGGTAACTGTCCGATTCTTTCTAGAACAATTTTATTCACACTCTGTTCTAATGGCTACTCGTAACAGGAGACAACACACGGATTTGCTGATAATCTCCAGGAGGTCAAAGGAAGGGTCGAAAGCTTGGAGTTAAAATCTGAGGCTAGTTTAATTCCAGTCAAGGTATAATAATTTGGGTATCTTTAATTACGGAGTATTTTATTCTTTGTGAGATACATGATGATATTCAATTCAGCATCTTATTCTTATTCTGGCCAAAATGTGATCCAATGGCTACTCATCATGCAACAGGAGACAGTGGAAGAACTTGATGAAACTCCCCACTTTGTTGAGGTTCCTCTTCTTACTATCTCCCCATGTTATGCTAATGTTTGGCGTTAGCTACAGAACTGTGCCCACAAAGATGACTCTTTTTTTGTCATGCAGTTCAAGTCCTTTTCTCCTTGTAGTCGTGATAACACACTTGACCATTTAATTCAGGGGGTTGCCGAAAGAAAAAAGACGCTCATTATTGACAATCTCTCTTTCCTAACTAAAATAGCAGACATGTAAGTTGCACTTTTAATTCATTTTTCCTTCTTGGAGAAAGTTTTTCATGACTAACATTTTATCATCCTTTCATACAGGATCAATTTCTTCAAAGATGATGGAAAAGTTGTTTGTGTTCGAAGATTTATGGACATCAAAGGCAAAGCACTTGCTTTTGGCTCTGTTGAGTTTGCTTCTGCTAACGAAGCAAAGAAGGTGAGAGTACTTTTGTAGTAATGATGAAAATTAAACAAGTAGTTATTTGAAATCATCATTGCTCGTTAAATCTTTTATACTGCAGACACAGGAAAAAAAGAATGGTAAATATTTGCAGGATAAGAGGATTACTCTTGGTTTGGCTGAGATAACTCCATACCCCGAGAGACCCAGGTAAATTTATTTTCCATGTTATGGAGATGTGTTTTTATAACTTCTTACCAGAGTTTTGATGCCATTACAAAAGATTAATCCAGCTATTTTTGTTAATTAGGTTTTGCAGAGAATACAATGTTTGGTAAGGGATTTAGCTACTTGCTTCTTTAGTTTGTTATCAAGAGCACATTTGGTGAAGTTTTTCATATACATGGAGAGCTCACATGTGTTTTTGAAATTCTAGGTATAAAGACTACTCTACACGAGAATGCTTTTCTGTAGAAGAAGGGAAGATACCTCCCCATTTTTTTGAGGTACCTGTTCTTATTGTCTTCTAATTATGTCTAAATCAGAATGAACACTTGGCTATTTAAACTCTTGTCACAAAGTTGAAGGATGACTTATTCTGCGGATGAATCTTTTGACGAGTCTACTATTTGTTATTTAATTTAAGTCTTTTTCTTGGGGTCGTACTAACACACTTGGCATTTAAATTCAGGCAATTGCAGCAAGAGAGCAGACGATCTTTATCGCCAATCTCTCTCCCCAATCTAAAATTTCAGATATGTACGTAGCACCTTTGTTATCATTCTCAGAGCAGGTTTTCATGACTGATATTTTATCCTTAAATTGTTATAGCAAGAGGTTCTTCGAAGATGTTGGAGAAGTTTTTGGTGTTCGACTTGTTGTAAACCACGAGGGTAAGCATGTTGGTTATGGCTTTGTTGACTTTGCTGATGCTTACGATGCAAAGAAGGTGAGAGTAGTTTAGAAGTGATGATGAAAAAAGTATTTAAGTAATTTAAGTTCTGTATACTTATGAAAAATATACTTTCTTTGTTCCGAAATAGATGTCACTGTTTGAACAATGTGCAAAATCCAATCACATTTAAAATCATTATGGTTAAAAATCTGTATTGAAATGAACTATACAAATTACATCGTTCAAAATACATCAAAAGTTTTACAAAACAAAAGGTGACAAATATTATGTTATATCAACCGATCAAAGAAAACATACAAACAAATACTTGTAGAAGTTATCAAAAATGCCATAAATATTAACAGTGCAATCCATTTTGGGACAGAGGCAGTACTAGTTTTTGCAAGTATGATAGCTGATTAAATCTTACATACTGTAGGCACTAGAAAAAAAGAATGGTGAGTATTTGAACGATCATAAGATTTTTCTTGATGGGCCTAAGACAGCTTCATACTCTCCACGATCCAAGTAAATTACTTTTCCATGTTATGGAGATTTACTTATTAAACACTGATTATAACTTATTGCAAGAGTTTTAGTGCCATTTCAGAAGACCAACAATATTCTATTTTTAATCAGGTACAGCCTTGCAGAGAAGCTTTGGTAAAGGATTTAACTTCTTGCCTCTTGTGTTTGTTATCAAGAGCACATTGGGTGAAGTTTTTGGTGTACATGGACTCATGGAGAGATTACAAGGGTCGTTTTTTAATATTCCAGGTACGAAGACTACCTTATACAAAAAAGCCTTTGGATGCAAAAATATGAGACACTGGATGGACGTGATGAAAATCCCAATCATGTTGAGGTACCTATTCTGGTTTCCTTCAAGTCTGGCTTAGAAGAAACCCTTAGCATTTAATAACAGATTAACAGAGGTGTTGCCATTATGGGGACGAATCTTTGAATGAGGCCTCTTTTTGTCATGCAGTTTAAGTCCTTTTCTCAGTAGTCTTTCTAACACATTTGGCTATTATTTTCAGGCAGCTGCCTTAAGTAAAAAGATGCTCTTTATTGACAATCTGTCTTGCGAAACTAAAATATCCGACATGTAAGTAGCACCTTTATTTTCCTCTTTCACTCTTGTAGCAAGTTGTCATGACTAATTTTTTATCCTCCATGTTTACAGCATCAATTTCTTCAAAGATGTTGCAGAAGTTGTTCATGTTCGACTTATTGCCAGCGAAAATGGTAGGCTTGAGGGCTATGGTTATGTTGAGTTTGCTTCTGCTGACGAAACAAAGAAGGTGAGATTAGTTTTGTTGTAATTATGGATTTTTTTTATTAGTCTTTTGAAAAGAAGTGTAGAGTTATGTTGAAGATTACACAAGTAGTTATTTGAAAGTACCATTGCTGATAAAATGTGTTATATTGCAGGCGCAGGAAAAGAAGAATGGTGAATGTTTGCACAGTAATCAGATTACTCTTGGTGGGGCTGAGATAGCTCCAGACCCTGAATCATGCATGTAAATTGATTTTCTATGTTGTGGAAATTTGTTTCTGTAACACTGGTTGTATCTTATTGCTAGAGTTTTGATGCCATTACAGAAGACTAATGCTTTTTTTTTGTTAATTAGGTATTGCATAGATCACAAGGTTTGGTAAGGGATATAAATGTTTGCTTCTTATGCTTGTTATCAAGAGCACATTGGATAAAGTTTTTGGTATATATAGAGGGACCATAAGACTGAGGGACCATAAGACTTGTTTGATATTACAGGTACGAAGACTACCTTCGAGGAGAAGGCCTTCTGATAGCAGAAGAAGAAGAAGATGAAGCGGCAGTTGAAGGACTTGATGATTATATGGAGGTACTTGTTCTTTTTATCCCTCAAAGTATGTCATGCTCAGAAGAACCACTTGGCGTTTAGTAGTAGATATGTTGCCACCAAGTTGGAAGTTGACTTATTCTGAGGACAAACCTACTTTTGAGTGATATGCAATTTATGTTTTTATCTCCCCAGAGTTGTGCTAACATGTTTGGATGTGAAATTTCAGGAAGTTTCTGCGAGAAAAAAGACGATCTTTATGAGCGGTCTCCCTTCGTATGTTAAAACATCTATGATGTAAGGAACACCTTTAATATCCTCTTTTGTTGTTGGAGCATGTTTTTCATGGCTGATAATTTATCCTCCATTTATGCAGCGTTTCTTTCTTCCAAATTGTTGGAGAAGTTAGTGTTCGATTAATTGTAGATTACGAGGGTCAGCCTGTGGGATGTTGCTTTGCCAAGTTTGCTTCTGATTTTGAAGCAAGGAAGGTGAGAGTAGTTCTGTAGTAATGGTGAAATGTACTTAAGTAATCATTAGTAAAGCATTTTAGTTTATCTTGAAAATTATACTAGTTAATTTGAAACTACAATCAATGATTAAATCTTTTATACGGCAGGCACTGGGAATTAGCGAACTAAGAAGAAAAATGTTCCCTGGTCCTATTTTTCTTGACGTGGCTGAGATTGCTCCATACCCTCTCCGACCCAAGTAAATTGTTTTTCCATGTTACAGAGATTTGCTTATCTAATGTACTCTGCATTGTCATTTCATAAATTTAATGCTATTATTCTGTTAATTAGGTACAACCTTGCAGAGAAGCTTTGGTATGTGATCTAACTATTTGCCTTTTGAGTTTAGTTATCAAGAGCACATTGGGTGAAACTTTTGGTATGCATGGAGAGATTACATGGGTTTTTGATATTCCAGGTACGAGGACTACTTACCACAAGAAAGGCTTTGGATAGAAGAAGAAAAACGGAAGAAAACATTTTGTGGTAAGAAGATTACCTTCTCTTACGGCGACGATTGATTGAAGATGAATCCCGGTGATGTTCTTAACTTATTAATTGTCTGAGTGTATGTATATTAAATTATGCTTTATTTTGAATGTTTTGGTGTTGAATCATTATATGCCTTGTTTAATTTGGTTAACAAATTCATGATGTCTACCCTTTTCAAGTTCAGTCAACTTGATGGGATAGATTCACTCTTTCTTATCTTTCGCCAAAGTGAAAAGTAGTGATAAGTAACTCAAGATCAAGATGTTAGCTTTGACGTTAATTGGTGTGCGTGGACCAAAATTCTTGGTGTTTTTGTGGGGATGGATGTGTCACACAAACACACACATTCCCGCTATCCATTTCATTTATTTCCTACGGGCTTTGACCTGACATGGGTGTTTAGTAAAGTTAAGGTTCACATTGGCTTTCCAATAATGCCCCTCCACTCTCTTCCTCCCTTCTCATTACCTCTTATACCGTACTTTGGTGAAGCAAAAGGACATGGGGTTGGAGGCTCTCCAGCCATTCTTTTTTGTTTTCTTAAAAAAGAATATGTTGGTAAAATTGAAAATACAGATCTAAAATGCTCCATATTGAAAGGAAAAAATAAATACTTGAAAATTGTCCACGTGTGGTTGAAGTTCGACCTTTAATTTGACTTACAATTATAAAAATAAATACAACATTTTGAAATTATTTGTATCAGTTTTCCATGAAAATTAATTATAGTTCAGATTTATTATCATGAACTAGTATATCACACGTGCTTTGCACGGGAAATGTAAATCCACTAATAAACCAAATAGAACAGGTTATTTTCAACCTTACAAACTTTAAGATAAAGAAATAACTATATACTCCGGGGTAGTAAAATTTAAATTACCAAAAAAATAAAGGAAGCATAATGTAATACGTAGCATATGTGATTGCAAATAAGTCATAATATTATTTAGCTAATAATTTTCACTGAGTAATTTCATATGTTCTGAAAAACTTCTTTAAATACAACATTAGTGGTCTCATTGTTTGGCATTTCTTCATTATCACACATCAAAATCTTCAAGCCAGAATGCGTGCGAACTCTAGACATGGCAACGTATAGTTGTCCATGACTAAAAATTGGTTTTTTAAGTAGCACTCCAACCTTTGAAAGCGATTGTCCTTGACCCTTGTTTCTGGTCATGACATAAAAAACCATAATATGAAATTGTTATCTTTGAAATTTGAAAGGCAATCTTGTATCACACGGTGTTAATGAGATTCTTGGTAGTAAAATCTTTCCCTAGCATTATTTCCAGTTATAACATTTGCTTCTAGAACTCGATCCCCAAGCCTTGTAACAATAAGTCTTGTTCCATTACATAGGCTATTAGCATGGTCAATATTGCGCAATAACATTATTGGAGTCCCGACCTTTAGTCGTATTTCATGATTGGGGACCCTAGAACACTTTATAGTGTTTAAGAATTTGGTGGTGTGTATATCCCCAATTAAACTATAGGTCATATATCATTGATTCATAGAATCTACACTGAAGTAAACTCGTTCTTCTACATTATTTTTTGACATCATGTAATTGTTGACCGCTTCAACAACTTCCAACGTCGGAGCTAATATAGCTCGTTCTTCCAATACGTGGCTGTCTATAAGTCCTCCGCTTTCAGGATATATTTCTTCGACAATAGTATGAATTGGGTTATTTCAATGTTCAACCAATAGGTCTTTGGGAATTGGAATATCAACTCCATCATTTGCTCCCCCAGCCTTGCCATCTCCAATACTTGCAATCCAGTCATTGAAATTTTTCAAGGCTTGTAAAATTCTCCAGTCAGTTGTTAAAAGACGCATATTTTTTGTTAGCTTGAGAACGGTGCAATCTTCCCACAAGTAAGATGAATTAATTGTAGCATTAACAATGTCTTCTCTTCTGCCTTTAGGAACAACTTGTAATATTTGTCTAAAATCTCCACAAAAACTAACACTATGTTTGGTTCAAGGAATTGAGGAAGAAAGGAAAATGATAAGGAAAAGAAAAGAAAGGAAACTCAAAATTCTAGTTATGTTTGGTTAAGATGGAAATTGACGAAGAAAATGTATTATCATGCTCTTTTTGTTTGGTTAAAAGGAAATTTGCCCATATTACCACATCTCCTCTAACAAACTAAGATGGAACACACCGTCCTAAATAGGGAAACCCAGAAAATAAAAAGTGCCACGAAGAGCAAAATCAAGGAGGCCAAAACAAGTTTATTGAATCAAGAATCCAACACAAGTTAATGGAAGGCCCCTGAATCACGACCACAATACCCAAAAATGGAGGCAAAAGGAGGAGAGGACCATGGTTAACCCTGGGCTGCAAATCCCAGCTGTGAACAGTGACTCGAATCCAAGTTTTGGCTCAAATCAAAGGATTCTTCAATTGGAATGGAAATCCAACTTAAGAACTTGAATAAGCAAACCCATGTCGCTCAGAAACCCCCACAAATTTGCCTCGAATTGAGCCTTAACCGAGTTCAATTGGAATTTGCCGATGAACAGTAACTCGAGACGGGATTCTCTCGATTTCCGTCCGAAATCGGGAGGAAACTGATTTTCCAGTTCTTTAATTCATTTTCTCTCCACTTTTCTTTTCCTTTCATTTTTCTTTCTTTTTCTCACTAACCAAACATTAAAAAAACATTCCCTCCTATTTTCTTTTTTTTTCCCGCCAAAATTCTTGAACCAAACATAATTGTTTTTTGTTAGCGTTCCATTAAATATGTCTGATACATGGCTGTTAAGCGAAGGATATATTGCAATTTTCTTTCATCTAAACTTAGGGCCCATTTGGAAAAAGATGAAAATGAATTCAGCAAAATTAGTTCAAGAAAACGAATCTGAAGAGAAGCAAGGCGGAAATTGTTCTCCAGAAAAAATATCACGCGAGTTGGGTGTTAACTTATTGCGTTATAATTAGATCTGATGATATATCTTATGAAAATACATCGGGCAATTTTAAAATAAAATGTGTTAATTTAATTTAAATTGAAATGTTTTTTTCTTTTTCAAAGTGTCTTTATTTGTAACTCAAACAATTTTTGAGAAATGCTTCAAACGAAAATAGGGAATTTTAAACTTCATATTTCATAAGATGCACTGTCGAATTTATTTCCTCAAACCTATCGAACAAATATGTTTCTATTGTAAATTATTAAGGAAAAATTACCCAAAATAATCCCAACTTTGGCTGGTCTTTCAAAAATAATCACACCTTTCACTGTGATGCATAATAATCTCAACTTTACTGAAATTTGTCAATTTTGGGTCGCCGTTAAGTTTCTAACGGAGGGTTAACGGAAATGCCCGTATTCGGCAACAAAATTAAAGTTAGGATTATTTTTGATGAATTTTCATTTTTTTTCATTTTTTAAATTTTTAATTTAAATTTTTTAAATTACTTTCTACCTCCATCATCATTTCTTTTTCCTTTTTTAAAGATTAGTCTTAGTTTAAAAAATAAAAATAATAGATATAAAAAATGAAACAAATGAGAAATGTAACTAAAATGATACAAAAATAATAAAATAAATAAGGTAATCAATGAAAACTAACTTGAAATTGATAAAAAAAATAAAAATATACGGGTGGGTTTTAATATTTTACGCATTATCCAAAGTATTAACATATCACTGCTTATTTTTTAGAAAAAAATTATATACAATAATTCTTATTTTACTGGACGGCTTGTTTTTTTTTAAAAATAAGTAGTACGGAGTATATTAAGACTTCGTATAGTGTGTAAAATGTTAAAACCCACCACTCCGTATATATTTATTTTATTTCTTACTAGTTTTTGTTTAATCTTTATTGATTACATTATTTATTTGATTAATTTTGTATGGTTTTAGTTATTTTTCTCATTTTCATTATTTTTTATATCTATTTTTTTCTAAGGTAAGAATAATCTTTAAAAAAGAAAAAGAAATGGAGGTTGAAAGTAATTCAAAAAAATTAAAATAAAAATTTCAAAAAAAAGTTAAAAAACAAAAATTCATCAAAAATAATCCCAACTTTCATTTTGTTGTCTAAAACGGGCATTTCCGTTAACTTTCCGTTATAAACTAAACGGCGACCCAAAATTGGCAAATCTCAATAAAGTTGGGATTATTATGCATCACAGTGAAAGTTGGGATTATTTTTGAAAGACCGGGTAAAGTTGGGATTATTTTAGGTAATTTTTCCAATTATTAACTTTAAAAGTTTCCATTTTTTGTCTGAAACATTACGGAGTACTCCGTATTTACAATTTAACTGACGAACATACAAATGCATGTCAAATTTTCTGTTTTACCACATTTTAATTTTCTAATTTTAACGCTTTCATGATATTTTCCTTGTTTTCTACTCCTTCCGTCGCATGAAACATGAGAGTTTTTTGCTTTTTAGGAGAGATTTAATGAGAGTATATTTTGGTATTGAATTTCCAAAAATGTCCTTTGATGTGATGGGTAAAAGTATGATTTGATGGATAGATTATTAGTAAAAAGGTATGATGTGATAGTTAGGGTATGAAAAAGTAATAGGTAAAAGTGACTTTTTAATAGAAATGAGAATTATTTTGTGGGACGGATAAAGAAAGAAAGGAGAAAGATTTTATGGGACGGAGGGAGTATTATTTTCATCTCATCCTTTATTATAATAAAAGAGACTCCAATGCACCAGAACGCGACATATGGCACGCTTATTAGGCAAAAAAATGGACAAGTCATAGGCCACGTTATAAGAGGCCACGTAATAAGAGTAACCTTCTGGAAATTCGCTACTGCCTCCGCACCAGGGATAATTGAACGCAAACTTTGAAGGTCAACGCCGAGGCGGAAGATCTGCCCAGATGGCTGCTAAATTTCGAATCACTGCCCTTCAATTCCATGAAATTCTTCGCCGTTACCTAGCGGAAGATTGCCCAGATGATTACTGAATAATTTCGAAATCAAAAACTCCTTTCCCTATGTTCGATGGCTGAAGATTCGGTGTGTGATTCCAAAATCCGCTGGAGATTAGGGATTTCCGTATGTGAGAAATCAGAATTTGGTAAGTCCGATTCACAAATTTTGCCTTCGAATTTCCTATTCACGATTATGATTTAGGTACCAAATTTAGGAGATTTCTTAGTTCTTTAAGTATATATAT